CATACTTGTAGTAACCCTGCACCTTTGGGCACCATATAGATCGTGAGGTGGTATCCCGACCACTGAACCGGACTTGGACCGCTCAAGGTATCCTGCAAATCTTGTGCAATTGAAAGGGTAATTCGGAAAGCATCTGGACTTGCAAACAGTCCGGCTATGTGGTGCGGATTGATTCGTGAAAAGGCACATGGATTCGGAGTCAAGGCAAATTGATTCATTCAGAGTCAAAAAACCACTGGTCGTTGAAGCATACACAGGATTGAAAGTTGGATTGTTTGGAAGCCATTGCAACAGTGTGCTGTGATCTGCTGCTTGTTACTGCATATGCTGCTGAGGTAAAGGCTGTGCTGCTGCAGCTGATCCATGTCGATCGACCGCTCTGGCAACTGCAAGACGGGGTAATTTTCCGAAATATGGGTTACACACGGACAGACGGGGTCCCATTGCCAGCGGGATCTCCTGTCGATTCCCGCTTGACCTGCTTGACCAGCCGTTAAATTCTAGCGATGCAATTTGCCAAAATAGACCTCGCCTTCAAACACCTGCCGGAATATCCAGCACTGGCCAACGGATGAATGATCGCCATATGAGTAGACGACTGAAACCGTTGTTGCCACATTAGCTTCCGGTGCAGAAATAGGATTTCCATTTCCGCACGGTGCGGAAATAGGATTTCCATTTCCGCACGGTGCAGAAACCAGCTTCCGAGTGAGAGCCAGCTTTTGATAGAAAAGTCTTCCCCCAATTCTCCCCCAAACATAACCTGTCTCTCGTACTTCATAATGAGAATTGACGTTTCAGCTTTCACCCTGGGCTACTACACTGTCAACATACTCCAACATGAATCAGTAACACCTGCAAGGAAACGGCCCAATTACTATTTTGATAAATGGAGATTTGGGAGAGAGGAGGATTGCAAGCACTGAAATATTCCCTTGATCTGATCCGCGATTGATCTTGGATGTTGTGTAATGCTGAATATGTATAGTTTACTATAGTGTCAATAGATCGCTATCGGAACAGGAGCTAGTATCTAGCCACCGGAGGGATACAAGAACTATGGGAGCTGAGGCACCCAAAGCTAGTTGTATTCATATATCTCTCCTGACATTTTCTTTTGGCATTCTCCACTCCCTACCGGTATCTTTTGGCGTATGCAATCAAATACTTCCCCCAATTTTTCTTTCCCTTAAAGAAACCTTTTGGCTCCAGCTTCCGAATGCGGAAATGGAAATTCCATTTCCGCATCATGCGGAAATGGAAATTCTATTTCTGCATGATGCGGAAATGGAAAATCTATTTCCGCATGATGCGGAAATGGAATTTCAAAGTCGTGGATTCCAGATTCCACATCCGTTGGATTCACTGTTGTACGAGGATGTAGTGCTCGCAACGCCGATTTGAATCGTGTGCAAATTTGATTCGAGCTTTTTCATTCCGCGTGCAGACGACGATGACCGTTATTTTTTGATACATTTGTGTTGGCACGCAACCCGCTTGAGAGAGCGGTGACACCCGTCTGTCCCCTTGCCCTTATTTATGAAAATTACCCTGTCTTGCAGAGAACCTTGTACTCCAAATTGGGCCAATATCAACCGTACCCCCTCTTGGGAGGACGTATCATCCAATACTGTCCAAGACTGACAATATCCGGCGACGGATGAAGACGTTTCCAAAAATTAAATCAGAAGAGCAAGTTTTCCATTTCGCTTTGCTTTCCACATGATGTTTTCCATGAGACGGTCACGAACGGGTCCAGCTTGAATCTTGGTTAAAACATCGGCCAAGTTCTCAGCGGAAATTATCCATTCAATTCGTAGGATATCAATTGCACATCTGGAGCGAACGTAGTGATATGCAACAGCATTCGATTTCTTTTTCAATTGAGATTCAGGAACACTTGAGTTCTTGACAACAGACATGTTGTCAACACAAGTATGACAATAACCTTGGATTGGGACGCCCATCATTCTGAGCTTGAATCGTAATCCCTCAAGTAATTCAACACCTGTCTTTAGAGCAGAAAACTCAGAACCAAAACTGCTTGTCTCGACACTGTTCTGCTTTTTCGAATACCAGATAATAGGAGCTTTGTTAACAAAGATCAATACTCCTGTTCTTGATTGACGAGTAACAACGTTAGCAGCATGAGATGCATCAACAAACATAGTGAACTCTACCGCTTTGCCAAGAGGTGTAGGCATGTCACTTGGGAGTTCATCCTTAGTGAATTCATAGAACTGTGAGTAATCAGCTTTCTTTAGTGGTCTAAGATGGTCAGCATAACCACAATCCATCACAAGTACACGATCAGGATGCTTCTGTAAATAGGCAAAAATATGTAAGGTAGCATGAAAGTGACCTTCACGAGGCATTATAGAAAAAGAAAACACGAAAAACGAAAAGCACCGAACCGATCGGAACTTGCAAACGGTCTTCGTAGTCTAAGTACCAGAGTCTACGTAGAACTTGCTGAAGTTTTTATCAAATCAACGGCATTTCACTGTTTTACAATGGGGAAGTCTACATCACTGAAGGTTGTCTCAACGACTGCCAACAAGGCGGGCGGGTCCACACCCAAATCGGTTTCTGTCGCCAAAAAGAGCGGAAAGAAAAGATTGGAAAATGCATCTGCAGTTGATTTACGTCAATCTAAGGACAGGGATCCTACTGTCAACAATGATTCGGAGATTCGAGAGCTGATCGCATCTCTCCCACCACTGATCGACTTTGGGTTATCTACTCACGAATTGATTGCTATCGGGTACAGCTATAATTCAACTAAGATTTTGTTTGGCAACTCCATTTTCAATCAATGGATGGAAGATCATAATGATCGGTGGACCCAAGCGCTTCCAAGGTTTGACAGCCCGTTCAAGGACCTCTACGCTAATTATTCAGTTGAAGTAAGGGTTAACATGCTATTCGCTCAATATGCGAACGATTGGCGACGGGTGTTGAAATTCCTAATTTCGCTTTTTGACAATGACGCCTTGGGAAACGTGGAAAAAACTACAGAATACACATGGGGAGTGAGAGCAATCGCATTGCAAGTCGCCCAGCAGATTCCATTTTCCTTTTTTGATGTTGGCCTTGTGAACGATTCCAAAGTTCCACAAGAAGATCTGTATTTTTTGAGGGACGATAGGACGAATCCCGCTCTACGTAATGAGACTCCCCTGGTGCAGTTTTGGTTGATGTGCGCTTCCATATTTGATCACCCATGGACGATGCTTTTTGACGAATTTCTCGAGGAGTCCCCAATCTCTTGCATTCAAGAAATAAAATTGAAGGTGATTGAGGGATTTCCCAACGACGAAACTAATAAGGTGGATATTCACAAGGGGGTCAAAAAGATATTTGATCCTGACTACGAAGATTCTGAGGAGGAAGATGATCCGATGGGCGACGAGGACACTGGCCTTGTCAATAAGTTCGGCCAGCCCGATGGATGGGACTCAGACGAGACAGTTGACGACTCCAACGACCGAAGGAACGACATGGAAATAGACGGTGAACTTGCTTCTGGTGACGATCGCACCCATGACGACGACGACGACAAGGGCGAGGTGGAGGAGGATGACGAGGATACTGACGAATCGACCAAGGATTCTGTCATTCTTGTGGAAAGTACTTACGATCTTACGGATACTGCAAACGACGAAGACAACAACAACATGGGCCTGAATACGGATGAGGCAGTTTCCGAACTGACCGGTGTTACTGGTGAAGACAAGGACCCTGAATTGGCATCTCCGCCGAGGAA